GCACGTGGAAATACGCCCACGGCGGTCCCTTGAGCTTGTGCCATGCAGATTGTTATGCCTGCGGCGGCTTCTTCATGCTCCCAATCGCTCCCAAGCGCTCCCAAGCGTACGGCGCTCCCAGGCGATCCCAGGCGCTCTCAGGCGCTCCCGGCACGCTCCCAGGCGCTCCCCGGCGCTCCCTGGCGCTCCCAAGCGCTCCCAGGTAGGTCCCATCCCGTGGGGACTGCCTTACACGTGAAAACACGCCTACGGCGGCCTCTCTGGCTGTGCTGGGGAGCGAAACGCACGTGGAAATACGCCCACGGCGGTCCCTTGGGCCTTCTTGGTGTGCCATGCAGATTGTTATGCCTGCGGCGGCTTGTTCGGCTATGCTTTGGTGCCTTGCTGGTGCATCTAACAGAAAACCGCAACGCGACACAAAAAAGCGACGCAGATGCGCCGAACGGCTCCGCGGACCCAAGTGATTCGCCCAAGACCTCGTAGAGCAAGCCCCGAGGAGTTCCAGGGGTTCGTTGTTCAAGTCCCACGGGGTTGCACGGGGGGGAGCGCGAGGGGCACGCGCCCAGCACCCTCTCGCACTGCGAAGTCCGCCGCGACGGGCATCACACGACGCCTTCCGTGGCCATGTACGAGGGGGCGCCAGACCCGCCCCCTCGCGCTCCCCCTCCCCGCCGTTTCGAAACTCCAGGGTGTCGAGAACGTCAGACAATATCTCCTGCATTCGCTCACAGACATTCGAACAACGGAGATAACCCTGCATGCCTTCGAGAAAGGTAATTCCCAGGGGGTCTGCCATGGACGTGCTGCCGCAGCCATGCGCGCGCATCGTAGCGAGGGGGGGCCAGACCCACCCCCTCGCGCTCCTCCTCCCGCCTTCCGAAGCTCGCGTCGACAGCGTCTGCGTCGATGCTTGCAATCGCTTCAGCGGGGGCGACCTCAAAGCAAAACCCAAAGCCGCGGGCGAATACAACTGCCGCGCGCGTCGCCGTCAGCGAGGAGCCCGACGGCGCGGCTGCTCGCTCGAGGCCCACGGGGGCCCATGGGATTGCAGCGCCAGCGTCCTCGCAGTGCTGCTTTCCAACGCCGAGGGCAAATGCGGACCCCTGTGGATCTGCTGCGCCAGCGGCAGCCGTCTACGACGGCGGCTGCAAGGGCAGCCAGGCCAACGGCAAAAGCCAAGGGCCTACTGGAACCACGGGCAACGCTGCGTCTGCGACAGGCCAACGCCGTAACTCAAAACCTCATGCGGCGACGCCTGGCCTTGAGGCCTCTCCTGTGCCTTCTGATAGCAATGCACGCCCGCAGGAGAAGAATCCGCCCTTCGGCAAAGCCATGCGCTAACTGGGAGCCAGCCGAATGCAGCTAAACCCACGGCAAAGATTGTTGGCCATGCGACGACGCTGGCTTTTGCGCCTGCGCAAAGCGCTTTGCGCGCGTACCAAGAACGCAATGCCTAAACCGCGTCGTCGTGCTCCCCGCGCAATATTCGCATTCGCACACAACACGAAAGCCCGCCTTGATAGGGGGGTTGGGGGGAGAAACCCTAAACCCTAAAGGGCTTTACTGTGGGTGGTCTGGGGCGGGAGTGCAAGTTCATAGCGCGCGCGGCTTGGGCAGCGATCCCCCCCAACAACCTTGATGTGGGGTGGGTCGCAGCCAGCGCGCGCATGCGCCCAGGCAGGCCTTAAACCCTAAACCCTAAACCCTAAGCCCTAAGCCCTAAACCCTAAACCCTAAACCCTAAACCCTAAACCCTAAACCCTAAACCCTAAACTGATGCGCGACCCCTCGACGGGTCGCGCACCGATGTCGAACCTTGTCCGCTCTGAAAGCGAGCGATAGTCGAGCGCCCAGATCGTTATCAGGCCGGCGCACGCGCTGAGCTTCGGCCTCTGAGAGAACCCTGAACCCGGGGTCGGATTGCTCGGGCGGCCCCCTGTTGGCCCCTGGAAGGATAAACTTCGCTTGGGAGCGCCTGGGAGCGCTTGGGAGCGCCTGGGAGCGCCTGGGAGCGCCTGGGAGCGCCTGGCAGCGCTTGGGGGCGCCTGGGAGCGCCTGGGAGCGCCGGGATACGCTGTGCAGCGCCTGGGAGCGCCTGGGAGCGCTTGGCAGCGCCTGGGCGATCTGGCAGACCGAAATCACGGGGGCGACCCGGCAGACCGAAATCACGCGGGCGGCACGTCCCGCGCTGGCGCAGTTAGGCGGGACGGAGGCAGCGCCGGGAGCGCCTGGGAGCGCCTGGGAGCGCCTGGGAGCGCTTGGGAGCGCCTGGGCGACCTGGCCGACCGAAATCACGGGGGCGACCCGGCAAACCGAAATCACGCGGGCGGCACGTCCGCGCCGGGAGCGCCTGGGGGCGCCTGGGAGCGCCTGGGAGCGCCTGGGAGCGCCTGGGAGCGCCTGGGAGCGCCGGGGAACGCTGTGCAGCGCCTGGGAGCGCCTGGGAGCGCTTGGGAGCGCCTGGGAGGGCCGGGGAGCGCCTGGGAGCGCTTGGGAGCGCCTGGGCGATTTGGCAAACCGAAATCACGGGGGCGACCCGGCAGACCGAAATCACGGCGGGACGGAGGCAGCGCCGGGAGCGCTTGGGGGCGCCTGGGAGCGCCTGGGCAGCGCTTGGGAGCGAGCGGCGCCTGGGAGCGCTTGGGGGCGCCTGGGCAGCGCCTGGGAGCGCCTGGGAGCGCTTGGGGACGCTTGAGAGCGCCTGGGAGCGCTTGGGAGCGCTGTGCAGCGCTTGGGAGCGCCTGGGAGCGCCAGGGAGCGCTTGGGAGCGCCTGGGAGCGCCGGGGAGCGCCTGGGAGCGCTTGGGAGCGCCTGGGCGATCTGGCCGACCGAAATCACGGGGCCGCCCCCCGGCAGATCCAAATCACGGCGAAACGGAGGCAGTGCCGGGAGCGCCTGGGAGCGCCTGGGAGCGCCTGGGCAGCGCTTGGGAGCGCCTGGGAGCGCTTGGGGGCGCCTGGGAGCGCCTCGGAGCGCCGGGGAACGCTGTGCAGCGCCTGGGAGCGCCTGGGAGCGCTTGGGAGCTCTTGGAAGCGCCTGGGAGCGCCTGGGAGCGCTTGGGAGCGCTTGGGCGACCTGGCAAACCGAAATCACGGGGGCAACCCGGCAAACCGAAATCACGCGGGCGGCACGTCCCGCGCTGGCGCAGTAGGGGGGGAACGGAAGCAGCGCCGGGAGCGCCTGGGAGCGCCTGGGAGCGCCTGGGCAGCGCTTGGGAGCGCTTGGGAGCGCCTGGGGACGCCTGGGAGCGCCTGGGAGCGCCGGGGAACGCTGTGCAGCGCTTGGGAGCGCCTGGGGGCGCTTTGGAGCGACTGGGAGCGTTTGGGAGCGCCTGGGAGCGCCTGGGAGCGCTTGGAAGCCCCTGGGTGATCTGGCAAACCGAAATCACGGGAGCGACCCGGCAGACCGAAATCACGGCGGGACGGAGGCAGCGCGGGGAGCGCTTGGGGGCGCCTGGGAGCGCCTGGGCAGCGCTTAGGAGCTAGCGCTTGGGGGCGCCTGGGCAGCGCTTGGGAGCGCCTGGGAGCGCTTGGGGACGCCTGGGGGCGCCTGGGAGCGCCGGGGAACGCTGTGCAGCGCCTGGGAGCGCTTGGGAGCGCTTGGGAGCGCCTGGGAGCGCCTGGGAGCGCCTGTGAGCGCCTGGGAGCGCTTGGCAGCGCCTGGGCGATCTGGCAAACCGAAATCACGGGGGCGACCCGGCAGACCGAAATCACGGCGGGACAGAAGCATCGCCGGGAGCGCCTGGGAGCGCCTGGGAGCGCTTGGGCAGCGCTTGGGAGCGCCTGGGAGCGCTTGGGGGCGCCTGGGAGCGCCTGGGAGCGCCGGGGTGCAGCGCTTGGGAGCGCTTGGGGGCGCTTGGGAGCGACTGGGAGCGCTTGGAAGCGCCCGGGAGCGCTTGGGAGCGCCTGGCAACGCCTGGGATCGCTTCAGAGCGCCTGGGCGATCTGGCAAACCGAAATCACGGGGGCGACCCGGCAGACCGAAATCACGCAGGCGGCACGTCCCGCGCTGGCGCAGTGAGGCGGGACGGAGGCAGCGCCGGGAGCGCCTGGGGGCGCCTGGGAGCGCCTGGCAGCGCTTGGGGGCGCCTGGAACCGCCTGGGAGCGCCGAGGAGCGCTGTGCAGCGGTTGGGAGCGCCTGGGAGCGCTTGGGAGCGACTGGGAGCGCCTGGGAGCGCCTGGGAGCGCTTGGGAGCGCTTGAGAGCGCATTGGGAGCGCCTGGGAACGCTTGGGAGCGCCTGGGAGCGCTTAGAGCGCCTGGGAGCGCCAGGCCAGGCCAGGCCAGGCCCGCTCGTGACACCCCTACCCGCTCAGCCCGGCCAAGCGCTTCGGCAGCGCCTGGGAGCGCTTGGGAGCGCCTGAGGCACTTGGAAGCGCTTGGGCGCTAGGGAGCGCCTGGGAGCGCCTGGGAGCGCCTGGGAGCGCTTGGGGGCTCTTGGGAGCGCGTGGGAGCGCCTTCGAGCGCTTGGGAGCGCCTGGCAGCGCCTGGGAGCGCCAGGCCAGAAGCCAGGCCCGCTCGTGACACCCCCACCCGCTCAGCCCGGCCAAACAAGCATGGAAGCGCCGGGCAGCGCTGGGCAGCGCCTGGGAGCGCCTGGGAGCGCCTGGGAGCGCTTGGTTGCGTCTGGGAGCACCTGGGAGCGCCTGGGAGCCTCGGAGCGCCTGGGCACAATGAGATGCGAGAGCGCGAGAAGTTTGTAGAGCACACTGAGATGCGAGGGGGCGCCAGACCCGCCCCCTCGCGCTCCCCCACCCGCCAAATCTTCGAGGATGCCATTTGCGATCTCCAGGCAGGACTTTCCCAAGCCACAGGCAGACCCAGATTGGCCCCTGATTATAGCGCTCGACATCCGATGCCCCCTGCCGCTGCTCCTGCGCTCTGCTTTCCCGCCGTCGCCATCTGGCTCGAAGCGAAACTCTGCCAGCGCCTCGCGCTAGCGGCCTTGCTACCAGACAAACGCGCCCCGCACCGAGCAGCGTCACAGTTCTCAGTTCTGCCATGGCGCCCAAGAGCAAGCGCCAGAACACGGGCGGCAGCAAAAAGAAGGAGGACCCGAACAAGCTCCACAATGTGCCCCTCTGGAAGATGATGGGGAAGGCCAGCCTGCGCTCCTGGCCAGACGAGAATGGGAATGCGGTGCTCTCGGACCATGAGCCGCCGCACCAGTACTTCACGCTGGACAAGGCTCGCGAGATCGTGACCGACGAGTCGTCGCAGCTCGTGAAGGTGCCGGCCTCGGGTTTCCTGAACGCGATCTCCGGTCTCGTCGCTGGGCAAGAAGTGCTCCAATGCGTATCCTCGGAGAAACCGAAGTGCGAGGAGCTCGCGAAGCTGAAGCTGTGGGAGGCGCGGAAGCTACTCTGCGACAAGGATGTCCTCAAGGCGGTGGACGCACTGCACTTGCCGTTCGAGAAGTTCGAGAACAAGCGCAGCGCAGAGAAGGCCGCCAAGGTCGTCATCGAGCACTTCGGGAGCAAGGACAAGGCATCAGAGCGCCTGGCTGTCCTTGGTCGTCTCGCCGATGAAGGCGCTCGCTTGTACATGGCAGCGATGACTGGGATCGAGCTCATTGCGCTCACGACGTCTGTGAAGGAGTGGTCCAAGAAGATCCCAGAGCCGGAGAAACAGCCCGCGAGCATCCGCAAGTTCATCAAGAGCCAGAAGATGGACGACCTGGTCGCCGCGCTGGCCAACGGCGTCGCCGCGGCCGCGGAGAAGACGGTGCGGAAGAAGCGCTACGCTTTCGGAGAGGACCTAGAGAGCGCCGAGAAGTCGACCAGCGGGAGCTCCTCGAATAGCACCGACTCCGACGGCGACTCCAGCGACAGCAGCAATTCAAAGGATAAGAAGAAAAAGAAGAGGAAGGACAAGAAGCGCGACAAGTCCTCCAGCCGAGGCCGCAGCCGCAGCAGGTCCAAGGACAAGAAGGACAAGAAGGACAAGAAGGACAAGACGAAGCGCGAGAAGTCGTACGACAGTGATCAGAAGAAGCACAAGGACAAGAGGAAGCGCAATCGGAGTCGCTCTCGCGACGGCAAGAAGGAAAAGAAGCGCGGACGCAGCCGCGAGAAGAGCGTGGACCTCTTCGCGGACGAGGGCGGGTCCCAGGAAGAGCTCGCGCCCGCGGAGAAATCCTGGTCGACGTGGGACGAAGCCGACATCCAGACCTTGAAGGACCGCGTCATCCAGTGCGACGGCAAGCCCGACCTCGAGGAACTCAAGCGGATCGCGCAGTCGCTGCCCGAGGATGTGGCCGAGGCGGCTGGCCTCGCGTCGACGTGCGCGTCCGTGTCGAAGCTGGTCAGGATGGCTCGCAAAGAGACGGTGAATATTTTCTTGGGCAAGATCAAGAAGCTGACGGACGACGCCCTGGCGTGGAAGGACGCGAAGAAGATCGCAGAAAAGCCCGAAGACGTCGACAGCGAGAAGGTGACGGGCGAGGCGGGCCGCGCTCTCCCAGCTGCTGCGGCGAAGGGCGCGGCTTCGGGAGGAGCAGCCGCTCCTGCGCCTGAGGACAAGAAGTGAAGCGGGCCCCAGCGGGGCGCTCCCAGGCGCTCCCAAGCGTTTCCAAACGTTCCCAAGCGCTCCCAGGCGCTCCCAGGCGCTCCCAAGCGCTCCAAGGAGCTCCCAGGCGCTGCTGCCCACTCAGCCCGGCGAAGGGCACCAGAGAAGTCCGTAGCGCACAATGGAATGCGAGGGGGCGCCAGACCCGCCCCCTCGCGCTCCCCCACCCGCCAAATCTTCGAGGGTGCCATGTGTGAGCTCCAGCCAAGATGCGCTCCGAGAGAGAGAGAGAGAGAGAGAGAGAGAGAGAGAGAGAGAGAGAGAGAGAGAGAGAGAGAGAGAGAGAGAGAGAGAGAGAGAGAGAGAGAGAGAAAGTTAGTCCCCCCATGCGAAGGGGGGCGAAGGGGGGTAGATTGACAGCTGGTTGACGCCCGAAGATGATCCGCCACGAAGACCTTCCCCCCATGAGAAGGGGGGAGAGAGGGGGGTAGAAGAACCCTAAACCCTAAAGGGGTACTTTTGGGTGGGGGGTGGGAACGGGAACGAATAGCAGCCGACCCCCCCAACCTCTTGAAGGAGGGGGGGTCGAGCTGCTTCCGCCCAGCGAGGCCCTAAACCCTAAACCCTAAACCCTAAACCCTAAACCCTAAACCCTAAACCCTAAACCCTAAACCCTAAACCCTAAACCCTAAACTGCAAGCCACGGGCGGTGCATCGTCAGAAGCCCGTGGCGCCTGGCCGAGCGATCAGCGAGTCCGCCCATGCGCGCACGCCGCACCGACGAAGCGCGTAGCGCTGAGGAGGAGGCGCTCCCCCGCGGGGATGCCTCGTGAGTGCTCCGAGAGATGAATAGAACCCTTAACCCAAAACCCAGCCAGTGGGTGCCTCGCGCGCGCCTACATCCCCTGGGGCTCCAAACTTATGAAAATACAGCATGCGGCGCCCTTTCGGCCGTCCGTGGGGCCGCAAACCATATGAAAATACCGCATGCGGTGTCCTTTCGGCTGGCGCACGTCCCAGGCGCTCCCAAGCGCTCCCAGGCGCTCCCAGGCGCTGCCAGGCGAAGCACTCCCAGGCGCTCCGGCGCGCTCCCAGGCGCTCCCGGCACGCGCTCCCAAGCGCTCCCAGGCGTTCCCATGCGCTCCCAAGCGCTCACAAGCTCCCACAGGTTTCCCGGATAGCCTCGTGGGCTACGTAGGGTTGTTAGAGAAGAAGCCGGCCGGTGCGCGTACGCCGCCGCACCCTTGCGCCCACCGCTCCACGTGCCCTTCCGTGTCCGTTCGGGTTCTGCAGCGTGTCCCGGAGCGCCCGTTCCAATACGTTCCCGTAGAACGTGCTCCAGAGGCCTCGCGAAGCTCCCGGGCAGCGAGCTCTCACGCGTGCAGGCACGCGTGGAAGCGATGTTCTCAGCCCTTCAGGAGCGCGCCAGGGAAGCTTTCCAGCGCCACCACGCACGTTTACAGCCCTTCAGGAGCGCGCCAGGCAAGCTCTCCAGCGCCACCGCGTACCTGTGAAGCGTGCTTGAGGCGACCTAACACGCACCGTTAAGACGAGGACACGCGCAACGCCAGAGGTGCGCTTGCGCAACAAGACGCGTCCGCGCGCGCGTCTCGCGCTTGGCTATCCGGGTACCTCGTAGAGCTCTTCGTACCTCGTAGAGCTCTCATTCCCGGATAGCTCCTTGGAGAGCTAAGGGTTTAAGATTAGAAGCCGGACGGTGGTGGTGCCCGCCAGGAGCCCCTCCACGGCGGTCCACGCTCGTCGCAGCAGCTTGCTGGAGCCTGCAGCGTGTCCGGGAGCGTGGCTTCCTAGCGTTCCCCAATACGCGTGGCTCCAGGGTGCGCGAAGCGCTTCGGCAGAGCTTCGGAAGAGCTTCGGCAGTTCTTCCAGGCTCCTAGGCAGATCTTCCTTGCGCGCTTTGCAGGGCCCCACGCATCGTAAACGGCGCCCCTGCAAGCGTCTCCTGCGAGGTTTCCAGCGTCCCGCGCATCGTTTCAGACGGCCTGGCAGAGGTTCCCGTGCGACGTTCCGCGCTTGGCTTCGCTATCCGGGTTTTTCCCGGATAGCTCCTTGGAGAGCTGAGGGTTTCAGATTAGAAGCCGGCGGTGGGTGGTGAGGAGCACACGCCCACCTTCGCCGGTCCACGATTCTCGCAGCGACTCGCCGGAGTTCGCAGCGTGTCCGGGAGCGTGGCTTCCTAGCGTTTCCCAATACGCGTGGCTCCAGGGTGCGCGAAGCGCTTCGGCAGAGCTTCGGAAGAGCTTCGCGAGTTCTTCCAGGCACCTAGGCAGATCTTCCTTGCGTCGCTTTGCAGGGCCCCACGCATCGTTAACGACGCCCCTGCAAGCGTCTCTTGCGAGATTTCCAGCGTCCCGCGCATCGTTTCAGGCGGCCTGGCAGAGGTCCCCGTGCGGCGTTCCGTGCTTGGCTTCGCTATCCGGGTTTTGGACGCTTACAAGTTTATTTTGAGAAAGCAGATTTTTACTCCGAGCATTGGCATATAAACTTTGTTCCCTGAGCAGCTCAGCTCTCTAGAGCAATTTTCAGTTCCAGTTCACTTGGAGCAACCGACCACATGTTGAATCCGAAAAAATCTCAAGTTGAAGTTTTATAGAAACACCCAAAGAAGCTCTTCGCTTTCATCCTGAGCTGCCTCGCGGATGCAATGAGCTCTACGAGGTTCCCGGCGGTGACCAGGTTGACGATTCACCGCCGGCGCCAGTGATAACTTTTGGGTGGTTTTGCAATTTTTTGAAAGATATTTGACAATTCATTTTGAGAAAGCAGATTTTTCGCACCTGTAAACGACTATGACGGCCTCTCTGTCTTAGTATGAGCTCCGTAGGCGCAATCTTACTATCAAAACACTTGGAGGAACCATCTTCACGTCGACGCGAAAAAATCAATTTTCCCCGTTTTCGAGAAATTCTTCCAGGAGCTCTCTCTTTCGAATCTGAAGAATCTTAGGCGTGAAAGGAGCTCTACGAGGTTCCCGGCGGTGACTAGGTTGACGGTTCACCGCCGGCGCCAGTTATCGATGAGCTAGAGGAATTCCGGCGCGGGGTAGAGCTAGTACCTCGTAGAGCTCTTCGGCATCGATGAGCTAGAGGAATTCCGGCGCGGGGTGGAGCTAGTTGGCCCACCCGGCCAGAAAGGACAAAGTGGTAACTTTTGGTGGTTTTGCAATTTTTTGAAAGATATTTGACAATTCATTTTGAGAAAGCAGATTTTTCGCACCTGTAAACGACTATGACGGCCTCTCTGTCTTAGTATGAGCTCCGTAGGCGCAATCTTACTATCAAAACACTTGGAGGAACCATCTTCACGTCGACGCGAAAAAATGAATTTTCCCCGTTTTCGAGAAATTCTTCCAGGAGCTCTCTCTTTCGAATCTGAAGAATCTTAGGCGTGAAAGGAGCTCTACGAGGTTCCCGGCGGTGACTAGGTTGACGGTTCACCGCCGGCGCCATTGGCCCACCCGGCCGAGGCGGACAATGTGGCAACTTTTGGGTGGTTTTGTAATTTTTTGAAAGATATTTGACAATTCATTTTGAGAAAGCAGATTTTTACTCCGAGCATTGAGATATAAACTTCGTTCCCTGAGCAGCTCAGCTCTCTAGAGTGATTTTCAGTACCAGTTCACTTGGAGCAACCGACTTCATGTTGACTCCGAAAATTATCAACTTGATTTTTTCTGTAGAAAAGCTCCCAGAAGCTTCCGCTTCGATGCTGAGCTTTCTCACGGATTCAAGGAGCTCTACGAGGTTCCCGGCGGTGACCAGGTTGACGGTTCACCGCCGGCGCCAGTTTTGGACAACAGCAGGTGGTCCCAAGCGCTCCCCGGCGTTCCCAAGCGCGTTTCAGCAGTCCAAGCAGTCCCATGGCGCCCCCAAGCGCTTTCATGCATTCGCAAGCACTCGGCAGCGCTCCCTGGCGGCGCTTCCCGGCGCTCCCCCGCAATGCAGGTGCTGCCGCAGCCGTGCGCGCGCATCGCAGCGAGGGGGTGCCAGACCCACCCCCTCGCGCCCCCCCTCCAGCCGTGCAACATTCGCGCTGAAGGCGGCTGCGTCGACAATGCGCTCGCTTCGGCGACGACGCCAACGGTCCTGCCCAATGGACAACCCACGGTCCGCACTCGCGGTGCTCTCTGCGTGTCCTGTCACTCCAGACGCTCCCACGTGCTTCCATCCTGGGGAAACCTCGAGGCGCTCTCTCAGCGCTCCCAGAGCTCTCTCAAGGCATCCCATGAAGTCTGCCATGAAGGTGCTGCAGCAGCCATGCACGCGCATCGTAGCGAGGGGGCGCCAGACCCACCCCCTCGCGCTCCCCCTTCCAGCCATGCGAAATTCGCGCCGAAGGCGGCTGCGTCGACAATGCAATCGCTTCAGCGGGGGCGACGACAACGGTCAAGCCCAACGGGCAATTCACGGCTCGCGCTCGCGGTGCACTCTGCGTGTCCTGTCGCGCTCTCAGACGCTCCCACGTGCTTCCATCCTGGGGAAAGGTCGCGGCGCTCCCCCAGCGCTCCCAGAGAGCTCCCCCAAGGCATTCCAGGGGGTCTGCCATGGACGTGCTGCCGCAGCCATGCGCGCGCATCGTAGCGAGGGGGTGCCAGACCCACCCCCTCGCGCTCCTCTTCCTCCCGCCTTCCGAAGCTCGCGTCGACGGCGTCTGCGTCGATGATTGCAATCGCTTCAGCGGGGGCGACCTCGAAGCAACACCCAAAGCCGCGGGCGAATACAACTGCCGTGCGCGTCGCCGTCAGCGAGGAGCCCGACGGCGCGGCTACTCGCTCGAGGCCCACGGGAGCCCATGGGATTGCCGGGCCAGCGCCATCGCAGTGCTGCTTTCCAACGACGAAGGCAAATGCGGACCCCTGTGGATGTGCTGCGCCAGCGGCAGCCGTGTACGACGGCGGCTGCAAGGGCAGCCAGGCC